AAAAAAAAAAAAAAAAAAACCAAACACCGCTAAAAAGCACAATGTAGATTTTGTTTAGGATATTGTGCTGTTAAGGTAGCAAATGTTTTTTAAACATAGAAATTTTCATCCAGTGGTTAAGGTAAAAAAATTAATACTCGAGACAAATTTTAGCTATCAAAAAAATTAACCCCATCACACCCTTCATTCCCCAAGGACATCACAAGTGCCAAGTATTAAAATGATAGTGAGATTCACCTAGCTTTCAATAGAGACATGCTTTTGTTCTGGGGGACATTCAAGGTGACAAAATAGATTGCTGTGTTGATTTGTGTTAGCTTATAAATGTTCTGTTATCCTCAGATGTAGGTTTTTAATGTCTTAATTTCTGAACACTTCAGAAAGGAAAAAACACCCACCCTTTAAACATTAAAACTAAAAGTTTTACTTAGTTAAACCATCATGAGAACTGCCCAGTAACTTTGGTTGTACCTAATTGAGATATCCTAACAAGACTAAATTTAGCTTGGATAATACACCTTCGAGACCTATAGTTAACAGTGTTAAGAGAATAAATTTTGGCCCTCCTTGGTGGCGCAGCGGGTTAAAGCACTGCACTAAGAAGCTTAAGCCACTTCCGCATGAGTTCGATTCCCGCCTGCCCCGAGGTGACCACATGGTGCGGCAGACCTCTCCTGACCCACCCGCTGCTCCCCTCAGCAGTGTACTTCGTCGATCTGCCTGTTCTGCTCCCCACTCTGTCTCTGGTGAAGCCTCTCACCCTCCGCATCTCTGGCCTGTACCCCAGTTCTGTACGAATAAATAAATAAATCTTTAAAAAAAAAAAAAGAGAATAAATTTTGAACAAATGGTTAAAGCAATTACTAAATGATAAAGAGGACCATATAATTTCAGAAAAAAAAATGAATAAAGTCTTTCATTGTTAAAGGTACTATTTTATTATTTCATAATTGAGTGTAGTTTTTCTTCAGGAGTCAATGATCTGGACAGAACTATTAAAGTTCAGCCCATTCATTCTCTTCTGTTTTCAAATTATGTTTTCCCAACAGTCAATAAAATGTTTAATTTGGTTTTTAGACTATCTTGCCTCTGAGATATTACTGATCAGCAAACCAGTAATTAAACGCTTAGTAGCTGAGGAAGGGCTAAGAATCCCAGGGAGCTAGGAGCTCTTATTCAGACTTAGGTTGGAATGACTGGCAGGCCAATATTTTCTAAGATTGTATGATTTAGGAAGGACTTTAGATATCTAGCTCACCCTTCTGCTCTGCAGAACATTTTCCTCACACACACGTTCTACTTACTTATTAATTTATTAAATTAATGTATTAAATTAATAAATTAAATAGTTAAATTAGTAAGTTAAATTAAGTTATTAACTCATTAAAGGCTGTTGGCTTACATTGTTTATATTTTGGGAATAGAGGACCCCCCCTTCATGGGTTATTACTGTAGTGTACCCTCCACCAAAGCACCCAGAGTCCATTGTGCTCTCTCCCCATTTTGTCTTACCCTTCCCCACTTCCGGAGTCATGAGTCTATAATCAGTGTTCAAGGGTTAGTTTTTAAATATTGATTTTATCTGACTCTTCTCTAGCATTCCTGATGGACTGTTCTATGACCTCTACTTCAAGCTACTCTCTTCTGGAGTTTTGGGGTTAATTTGTTCCTTGTTGGGCAACCTGTACTTAGTAGAAAATTTTCCTTTCTAATGAATACAAATCATTGGAACAGTCTCACATTGGTTCTGGGCTTCTTAGAAATGCCTCAATGCAAATTTAAATAGAGCCGCCATTCTGAAACAACATCTTTGTTGGGCTCCATCAAGTATTAAGCCGAGGTCATGTATATCCTGAAGATAAGAGTAGCCAAGATCTTGGCTTGTGTAAATATGATGTTCACCAGACCATTCTATGATCCTCTTTATGAACCTCCAAACAAAACCAAAAACATGTAAATGTTATGGAATCAGAGTTGAAAAGGCTAAATTCCTAGTGAGAAAGTGATGAAGCACCTATGTGCTGCTCACACCCACACACCTGAAATTGCCTGGGCTGTGCACATCTGTCTTAATAGAGTTGACTGCATACTCTGGCCGGTAGGTCCCACACCACACCTAGAGATTGGAGTAGAAAAAGGAAAGCAGTGTGCAATTAGGATTAGTTGCTGGGGGCAGGCTAAGGGAAAAGCAGGCTTCCAATTGCAAAAACAAAGTTGGAACTCTGCCTTCCCCCACCATTTGCTCTTATAATAATGTTCAATGACAGGCAACCAAGAACATAATTATAATTAATATGATATGACAATCTGTTACACAGAAGTGGAAGTCAAAGGCTCTGCCACAATTGATTAAAACAAGAAAACTCAGCATGCAATAGCTAACTGACTATGAAATTACAACTCAAAACAATTTTCGTACCTATCAGTAAAGAAAGATACAATACCTGGGCAAAGTTCAAGAAGAACAGTTGTTTGTGATTTAGATCAAGTCCAGGAAGTAATTTCTCTTCACCATTTTTTTTGACATAATTTTGATAGGCCTAGAAAAGTTAAAGAAGTAGAAAAGTGATGTTTCTATTTTCCAAGTTTCATATAAATCTAGGCAAAAGATCATGTGACCAAGTGGTTAACCTCAATATCAGAATCATAATAATATATTTAGGTGCTGCAACCTACAACTATTTCATAAATTGCAAAGAAACTAGAATTTATTTACTAATGCTCTGAAAAGACAGGATACCGATGGTCAGATAATAAGAGGTTCACGCAAGTCAGATGATCAATAAATACCAGTTGAATGATGGAAAACTCATCTAAAGTTCTTCTACAGATAGATAAGTCCAGCTAGATAGAAGAAGGATGCTAAAGGAGTCTGCCATTGCTGTATTTAGCTAGTTAAAACTTGTTAACGCTTAGCTACTTATTCTATGTAAAACAGATTCAAATCAGACTTTGCTTGCGTGACTATTGCTATTGCCAAAAGTCAAGGAAGTTTCTTAGGATCCCTTAGAGACCTAGTCTCTTATCATTCTAATAAGGTTAAGTAATTATTTTGGTCCACTGAAGATAGGGAAGAAACAGACCCAACCCAGTTACATGAGGAAGAAGGAATTTAGGTTACTTTCATGTTCAAGATAATCTTGATATTTAAGGATTTATGGATACTACTAGAAATGTAGCTTTCATTTATTAAATATAAATAAGAAAGAAATTGATAACAAACTTTCTGAGCAGTGTCACTTCCAATTTAATAGAAAGGAAGATAATCAATTTGATAGTAGAGAATATATTTCATTTCTTCCTGCTTACCAGTGACATAGATATATTAAATCTCTATTATGTAAGGGTATTGATGTTTCTTCTAGTGGTGATGTGGTGAAGACTTGAGCCTGCTCCTTCTTTGGAAGCCCATAATCTAGCAGGGGACAAGGTACTATCCAATATTTCATGCATTTTTGTAGAAAATACAATAAAATATTTGTACCTGTGCAGTTTGCTCTATTATTAAAATTTTATACTTGCTTTAGGTAAGGATCTCAAAGAAAGTACCGTCAACCCAAATTTTGGTTAGATTGTAACAGGAGATTCTCTGTTTGACTGTATATTAGAATCACCTTGGGATTATTGAGTGCCAGTTCACTCTTACACTCAGTTAAAATGGAGTTATAAGAACCGGATTTACCCTTCCCATTACAACAACCAAGCAAAGGGAAAAATATATGAAACCATGGTTTGTATTACAGACATCTGGCAAAAAGGAGAGCCATCTCTGTAAGATGGATATCAAGTAAGATGAGCCCAGTGATGCTCCAGCTTGTTGTTGATATATACTTCTGGGTGAAAGAGTTTGAATGACTATAAGGTTATGTGCTGGAATTAAATCACTCAGTCCTTCACTCTGTCATTGTGACTGGAACTCAAGTTAATGTCATGCCTGTTGTCTATGCTGATGTGGTTCAGCGGCTGTGAAACTGTAGGTCTTGTTGAGTATGCTGGTCAATGACTGCAACAATTCTTTTTATGAGACATCTTTTTCTTAAAAAACTATTCAGTGACCATTTCTTGAAAAATGTTGTACCCTTTGTGAAACCTATGTCTCTCCCTATTCCTGTTGCAATAACAATCCATGCTTTAGATTTTCTTTCTAAGATTCTTAGAAGCTTATAACAGACAGGCATTCAGCTTAACCTGTATTGTCTCTTTCAGTTAGCATATTTATAGTCCTCTATCAACTTGTGTATTTTCCATTTGCATTTATTATTTATTGTTTGCATTTTACCTCTTTGACAAAAGGCTAAGTGAATGCTTGAATATGACAAATACATATTACAATCACTGAAGGAAAAGAAAATAGTATTACTCACTCGGTATGCTTGACCAATACCTCCATTATCAGCAATATTTTCTCCCAGGGTATTAATTCCGTTGAGCTATTGAAAAAAAAAAAAAAAAAAAAAAAGGATGCTTAAAGATCCTTGACTGTACTTGGATTGTTAAGAAAATGTCAGTAATTTGCTCAATGTTGACCATATCCAGAACTTGTTAAGAGAATACCAATGACATACATGCTGTCCACCAGCTAGATCCCAGGAGAAGTTTCCATACTGGTGCACCATGCATTGGGATTGGTCTTTAAAGTTATTTGCAGACTGTTGAGTCCACCAGTCCACGAGATCTCCATCTTTGTTAAAATTTCTGCCTGTAAAATGGGAGCTTATTACATATTGCATGAAGTATTACAATAAACTATTTGTAATTCAAAGTACAAGGACTGAAATACCACTGTGAGAGAACATTGGACAGATGATAAGGAAACTGCGACCTATTCCCATCCATAGTTGGTGAAACCTGGACTGCCAGGCCTTCATTGCTGATATGTACTAGTATTAATCTAGATATTCTAGCCACTTACCCTTTGACTTCTCAGTTAAGGTCACCAAAGAAATAAGGCTTAGCTTCATGCCTTGTTTCTGTTGGATGGTTTTCACCAGAACCAAGTCTGTTTAATTTGATGTTTTGAGATTACATGAACTTCAATATTTTTATTCTGACATTTATTAATGTCTCCATCACTCATGAGACAGTTGAACTCAGTTTCCCTTTATTTCAAAATTAAAGGAAAAAGTTGCCTTTCTTCCTGTATCATTTCTGCTAACCTGAAATTATACTGATCCTTTTTTGAGCTGCAGCAGCATTTATGTAAGTCACATGTTTTGACACTAAATTATAGGATCTTTTAAATAGTTATCTGTGATGTAAGAAAAGTGCTAAGAAGACAAACTACCTGAACTCACTTCCTACTTCCATTATTAGTTCCTCGCTCTGAAACTTTCAGCAAGCATAAAAGTGCCTACATTTTTTCCCTTTTGAGAATGGTAACAGTATTAGCACCAACTTGTGAAGATTGTTGTGTAGCTTAATTGAGTCAATTGACATTCTGTACGGTCCTTTTTAAAACTGTAAACTTCCATAATATATCTCTCCCTACAACCTTTTTAAACAAATGGCAGTCTATAAAAACACTTACTTTGCTTATCACATTTTCCATTTTTTAAAAACTTTCATATGGTTTCTAGTGGATGGCTGAGTGTTTGAGCTAATAAAAATAATTTTTATTTAAAAAAAATAAAAATAAAACCATAGCCTTCCTATCTCCCTTTATTTCTGTCTCTAGAAAGTTGGGTGTAGAATTAATCATTTTCTCTCTATGATTCTCTTCCTATTTTCTTTCCACTTGCAAGCTAATCCTTATCACAGCTTTACTTCTTTACATCCTTATATGTTTACTTGTAGTCTTACATTTCACCAAAACTCCAAATTTATTTGCTGTTTGGGTTACTATGTAAACATTTAAATGTCTAATTGTTTTTGTGACTTCAAACTAGATATCAATAATAAGGATAAGAAGGCCAAAAGCAGAATTCTTCACACAAATAATGAAAGTGCCCTCTGGTCACCTTGCTTTTTGATCTTACATCTGGTTTAAGATATGGATCACTCTCTAAAAGTCTAAGACGATAAGACATAGACAATCATGGAATAAGAACAAATGTTATCATTGGTGTAAAAAATAGCACATTTTTTCCTCCATGTGAATACTTGTTTAATTCTGTCCAACAGCTGATTTCACGATTAGAAATTTCTGATTTAAGAAGAATATTAATTTGTGGTGATTATTAGGCTAACGATGCATGTGTTTTTGTACTGTTAAATTATGATTCAATCAACTATATTAGGATATAGCTCAGTCAAGGAAAGTGTCACTGGACTTTACCATTGTCATCAAAGCCATGGGTGATTTCATGCCCAATGACCATGCCGATGCCACCATAGTTCAATGAGTTAGACTGCTGGGCACTGAAGAAGGGCGGCTGCAGAATGCCAGCTGGGAAAACTGCAAAGGAAGAAGATGGTTAAAGATGATTTGTGGTATTATTTTGTGACAGCAAGCCTGAGGTTGGCTTCTTGCCTTTTAAGCTGTTTTCCAATATGTCAGCTTCACTTAATTATATACAAAAATGTTCTATGATAGAAAGGAATGTAGTCCTTTTATTATTGATGGCAACGAAGAGTTCATCCCTAGGTGGGGATGATTTATAGTTACAATTCATTTTACGATCTATTCTGTTTTTCTACATTAAGGAGTTAAAAAAAAGGACCATTATTATTTTTTTTTCAGAGCGTCTTTTTCCCTCTTGTAAATATTTGAGAAAAAAAAGAGAGTTCCTTAATAATGCAAGTACGACTTTTAAAGTTTTCTTTTTAAAACATTTTGTCCATTTCAATAGCTTACTAAACTACAACTAAATTCAGAGATATGCCTGATTATATAGCCCTATTTTACTTTTATTAAGGGGATCTGAAATTGTTTATTACTTTATTTATGGTGGTCCCCTACTTTTTCTTGTTTTCTTCACCCCCTACACCTTAACTCCTAACCCTGAAAGTTTTGTGCATGTGCATGTAATTCTTTGTTTGCTTGATTTTGATCACTCTTTCATTTTTTTTTTCCATCTAAAACTACACTAGTGCCAAAAAACAAAAACAAAAACAAAAACAAAAACTACACTAGTGCCTGGAATATATTAGCTATTCAGGAACTGTGTTGAATAAAGAATAACCAGTGGAAATGAATGAATTTAACTATGCTGCCCTAAAGACTTGTGATTTTTATGGCTACCTTGATAGCGACAGTAACATGTTGACTTTCTCACTTGGATGTCTTGCCACTGCTTTCAATTTTACTTGTTCCATTTTACTTAGAAAGAAAGGAAAGAAAGGCCATATGCACTTTTCCTAGCAGCATCTGCTTTGTATCTCCTCCTATAGGTCTGTCTTTCAAAAAAAAAATTGATTACTGGGTCCTCCCTGGTGGTACCGCCGGCTAAAGCACAGCACTGTAAGCGAGCCGTAGTTGCTTCAGTGTGAGATTGATCCCCGCCCTGGAGGTGACCCACATGGCGCGGCGGACCTCTCCTGACCCACCCGCTGCTCCCCTCAGCAGTGTACTTTGTTAGTCATTTCTGCTCTGCACCTGACTCTGTCTCTGGTGAACCCTCTCACCACCCCTGCCCCTCTGGTTTGTATCCCAGTTCTGTATACATAAATAAATAAACTTAAACAAACAAAAAAAGACATTTTCAAAGGAAAAATACCAGATGGTTTCACACAGCAGGATCAAGAGAGATAATAATAATAATAATAATAATGAACAACTATATACCAGAGACATTTTACTGGGGTGGAGTGGGGAATGGATCAAAAATGGTGGGGGGAGGGAGGTGCACTGGACTATGGTGGTGGCACACAGGTGATCTGGTGATGGGAAGCCCATGCATGGGGATTACAACTGAGATGGAAAAAGGCATAAAATGATGTAAAAATAAACTATTATATTATTAAAATAAATAAAGACATTTATGAAGGTGTCTTTGGATTAAAAAAAGATTATAATTTTAGGGTTACATTTTTACTCCTCCATGGTTCTCATGCTTTACTTACCCTTCACTAAATCTTCACTTCCCTCTTTTTTCCCTAGTAACCAGTAGATTTTTCACTAAATCTAAGATTCATTTCTGCTATATTTTGCAAACAAGTATTTGGTGACACAACTTCATGGCAAAGGAAATAAAAGCAAAAATAAACAAGCAGGATTTACCTCAAACTGAAGTGTTTGTTCCTAAAAAGAAACCCATGCAAAAATAAAAAGGCAGTCTACAGAAATAGATAAAACACTTACACATCATACATCTGACCAGGGACGAATTCGAAAATCTACAAAGCATGTGTCCAATCCTCCACCAGTCTTACTGCCACCACCCTGCTGCACATTCTCATTTGCTCAAGAACTTCTTAGTTTCCTAAATAGTCTTCCCATATTCTGTCTCACACGATAGTAATCTATCCCAATCCAATCCATCCTGTAGTAAGATTAAAGTCTCATGCTGGCTGTTATCACCGTCTGCTATAAAACCTTAGATGTGTATCATTGCTCCCTAACGAAACACACTGACCATCTTCTTCCTGGCCTCTGTCTCCAAAGTCCTCTTCTTCTTCACCTCACTCCTCCCTCCCCATGCTCACAGGTTAGTAATTTTATCTTTCATGTTTTAAAACTCTTGTATCTACTGAGTAACTGAAACATTATATTCTGTAATTGATGAAAATCTTTACTATCAACACCTATATAGCATGCAGAGCCAAAGGCCATTGCTGTTGGAAAACCAAGATTATAAGAGAAGGGTCCTGACCTTAAGAAAATGAGCATTTGGTTAGCATAGAGTAGCGTATGTTGTTTCTCTCTCTTTCAGGTTTGCTTATCATATGCCATCTAATGTTGCATGAGTTTCAGGGATAAATATTAGTTGTTGCATTGGACAATTTAAGAGCCCTCCAGACCTTTAAAAATATCTGGAAAGAGGCTATAACACTTAAAATGACAAAACAATTTTAAAAATAGGTACTTAGTCCTTGGAGCATTTTGATGAAAGTTATACCTCACATGTAGCTGTCTGATCTATCAACAGTGCCAAGAGATTATTTTTAGCTTAGAGGATAAAAATTATGTGCAGTACTTTATTAACTTAAAGTGAACACTATCTCCCACACTATGTACTTTGATTAAAATCCACCCATTATATAAAATGCTCTTATGAAACGTGCTATCAAGCCTAAACATTAACTGTAAAGATCCTGCTGCTTTAATTATACCCTGAGACATGCCATTCTCTGGCAAGTGATAAGATTTTTATGGTTCATATTAAATACTAGTTCAGCTTTTGCAAAAAAATGACTTCTATTCTGTCAGCTAAATCTCTGTGGTGAGGATTTTCCCCATTAGTCTTACTGCTGTTACTAGTAGACTTCATAACTATGGTTAATAAACCAGTGCTTATTTGTACATTTTTTGTGGTCAAATAGTCAACAAGTTAGTTAATTAAATAAGTCTACTAAACAAAAATGCTGTTTTTCCTCCCCCCACTGTACATTTCCTTGGTTTATTCTTTTTTTTTTTTTTTTTAAAGACTACAAGGAAATCAATTTTAGGAAATCTTCAAGCTTCCAACCAGGCCAAAAAAAAAAATGTTTTTGGTGGAAAAAGCAAAAAATATGTTACACATTAAATGGGGTAGCAACATGTTGGGGAACACTGACTCTTAACTTTTAAGTCTGAAAATAGGACTTAAAATGTAAGACAATTTTACAAAATATAAATATCTCAAGGTATTCATAGACCACTCAGAGTGAATAATCTAAATAATCTATCAGTTTCCTAAAATTGGAAAAGGAGAAGGCAATAGTAATAAGACTTTCCATGTGACTTGATCATTTCCTTGCCCAAGACTTTAAGGTTTAAGACCACTGAATAATGCCGGAGACTTACAGAGAAACATTTAATAAAATATCCACATACAACCATCTTAACTGTTATTTAGACCTTCATGGAGCAAATGTGCAAAGAATAGGAAGCAATGAGTTTAAACACTTTCTGTCCCTTGTTGTCTTAGCATCTGACTTTTATTTATTTGAAATGACACAGCTAGATTAAAAATGGAAGCTCTAGAAAATGTGTATGAATTGTGAACAAAAATGGTGGGAATTGAATTAAAAGAAATTGTTAACATGAATAACTTCCAATGTGATAATAAAATAAGTTCCTTTTGACTATAATGTAAAAAGACCAGACCCATAAGAAATGTATGTGACATAAGGGCCGTGGTGTGAAGATGGCACAAGCGATCGTGGGCAATTGACATTCTGCAATGCACACAAATCCATCAGGCAATACAGCAAAAATCACATCTCTACAGAGGTATGAACACACACATCACACATTTCTATGAAGAAGATGAATGTTGGGATCTTCAATTATTTTTAGTTAAGACAATCCTCATTTTTGATGATTTAAATGAATTGTCAAAGAGAAAATACACACATGTCAAAGACTTCTCCTCTTGTGTGACACTTTCCCTTTTCTGAACTGATGTTATTAGCAGACAAACATGTGAAAAGAGGTGAACAGTTTTTCAGATTTCATCCAATGCATTTACCTTAAGAATCTTTCAAAGGCCCTAGGTGCATTACAACCAATCAATTCCTAATTATGTAGAGAATAATTACCTACTTTGTGAAATGCTAGGCCACTATTATCTTTTTTCCTTTTTCGTGTGCTTACTTGGTTTGAGTTTGTTCAAAAGGAAAACATTCCCAAGGCTTCTCTGATCAGGGAAGCTCTGAACCGGGTCAATTTTGAGGCAGCTACTGGTAATTGGGGTTAATTCAGAACCAGATAAAGTCCTGTATTGACTAAACTCTGTAGATCTGCCCTACAAAAGAGTTGAAGTATGAAATGTCACAGCAGTCCTCTAGAGGGTCTGTGTAGCTCTTCCTGTTGGGATGATGATGCTCCCAGTCTGATAGGACCCTGTGTCTTCCTGAGATGGATTAAAATGAAGCTATATTACTCAGACTATCCTAAAGCAGAACTTCAGTTCCAAGGTTGCTTCATTTAGTCTTGGGAGTCTATCAGATGTAATTATTCTGTTTAAGTTCAAGTCTAGAATGAACTAGATCTTGCACTGACAGAACAACTGCATAGCAAAGAGGTCTTCAATTTGGAGCTACCCCAGAGGTAGAGATACTTTAAGAAAAAATCTGACTGGTGTTGAGGAATACATTCAGAGGATGCACTGCCTGGCTTCTGAGTTGATCATTAAGCAGGGCTCTCGTCTGACTTTAGGTAATCATTTCACTAGCTGGAAAACATAGTCTAGATTTTGAGTGAACAGCTTTTAACCTGGGTGCACATGCTTTACTTATTATCTGTATGTTATGTAAAGACAACCTTTTTGACTGTATGATTCATTGTCATGTCATGCAAATGCATTAAAGATTTACTCCAAAACATAATACTAGAAGAAAATGTGGATGACTTTTAAATTTTACTCTTCCTAGAACTTAATAGCAGGGAGAAAAGGCATAACCGAATGTAAAAATAAAAGTTCTAATTTCTCTTATATTTTATTTTTTAAACAATGGTAAAAATCTTGCAGGATATTTTCATTATTTTTAAAATATTAAAAATTAACAGAATTCAAGAAAAAAATGAGATTCTGAGATGTTAAGAACAATCTTCCTTCCTGATTCTTGACCACACTTACAAGTGAAAAACAGGGTTGAGTGTACTTTTAGAAACTGGGTGTATGGTTTGTTTAGAATATCTTTGATATTCTAAATTGGTTATTAGATGTAATGAATTAGCTGGGTACCTTTCTACACACTATAAACCTTTGGTAAAAAACTTTATATGATACTTAAGATAGTTTAAAATGTTCATTTCATAACAGGGAAAGAAAAAAACTACATTTTACATTAAGTCACCTGGTTGTTTATTACATCGTTCACTCATTTATTAACTTCTAATTAATATTTTTGTTAACAAATTTAGTTAACAAACTACTTTTTCTCTTTTGATATAAAGAGGTTCAGTAAACACAACTTTGTATTGCTTAGCCTAACATAATTTTCAACTTTCTGAGTCCCATGAAGTCTTCTACAAAAAATTTGACCTACAACAGGACTATGTTCAACAGAGCCACTATAAAAAATTTCCAGGAACACTGCATCTCTGAAAACCTGGATCCTGGGAACTTAAACGACTTTAACGACTGATGCCTATAAAATATTAAGGTTCATAAACCTTTATGGAGATGAAAGGAACTTTTAAAAAGTATTTAGAAATAAAATAAAAATACTTCAAGATAACCCATTCAGCTACAAATGAGAATATTATAAAAGAAATAAAATGACTTAGTGTAATTTGTATTAATTAGAAATTCTACTATTCTAGTGAAAAGACATCCTTGATAAATTTACTTTAAAGAAGTGTACTAGTTAATCAATAATTCAGTCTCAGCTGTGAATGGTATTTTAAATTGGTCATGCAATCACTACAGATTGGGACTAGAAAATTTTGTAGAAATAGAGCTTACCTATCTGATTTCTGCCTGAAGAATAGAATGCATTAACTACAGCAGCTCCGCTTATCCACCTAGAGAAAACATAAGAACTTGTTACACACATGATGCTGCATTATCTGATTCAATCTGATCACCATGATAAAAGCATTATTACTGCATCTAGATGGATCTTAATATTCTGCTTGAAATTGGATCCACAAATTAAAGTTAACTCACTGGGTGAGAGAGCTCATTTGAAAGCATGTCTACTTCTTTAAAAATCAGAATACACCCTGGTCTGCAATCTTTTATTTCATTAGCATGAATTTTTACAAGGAGATATCCAACAGCACAAAACACATTCACATAGATCTCTTTGGAAACCAGAATGAAAGTATTGGAAATGCTGCAATGCATTTAGTTTCATGTTCCTGAACCTTGGGAACTGTGCTGACAATTTTGGAGCAGTGGAGAGAATGTCGAAGGATTTCAGATTGAACTGCATTTGAATTTTTTTTTAAATTCTACAGCTAGCTTTTTTGGTATTAGTTATGAAATGCCATTGCTTTACATCCTTGTTATTGTTACTATTTACATTTTAAAGGACAGGTTTATTAGGAAAAAGAGGAATAAACAAGGTTCCTGCATAGATACAGGCAGGCAAGACAGCTCCATCCTTGTTTTTATTTTCACCATGCAGGCGGTCACCATTGCGCTCCCACCACCGAATTACCCACAATGCTCCATTGTGTACAGTCCTCCATTGTGAAACTAAGACCTCCCCTTGGAAGCTTGCTAGTTTGTGTTATGTGCCTCTGATTATTGCCATTTAAAATAATTTTAAAAAGTGCGACGCTCCAGCTAATTGAGCAAAGGTACATTTTTGTACAGCTATAAAATGAATTCCATGTGGTTCTTAACTAGAATTGTCTGTGTATACCGGGATATAGACAATGTTTAGGATTTTATAAAATACAATTACTGAATGCAGAAGACTCCAGTTCTGTTAAAGAGATGAGAAAGATGTTTAAATAACTATGGCAAAATTCTGAATAAGAAAATGGCCCCCAACAATAATTCTCGGGCAATATCACTGCTCAGATATTATAAAGACTCATACCAACAATCACTGTTAAGGACTTTTGAGCAATAGGAGTAATATTCATAACTTAATAGATAATTACATATCTCCATATATACTCTGAAAAATGGACACAGACTTCACAAAACCTCTTAAATATCAGCACATATGCATACACTTAAGGCAATCATTTATTATCATCTAATGGCTTTATTGTAGTTATTCTACATTCAAGGCAACAATTAGTGTGGCAATCATTATCCTACTCAGAGTTTACAGTAATTAGTGCAATGAAGTTAAATCAGAACTGTTCCCAGATCTTTCTTTGCAGAGTAAGCAATACAAAGTCAGCTGCCCAAAATAGCATTTCAGCTATTTTCAATAGCTATTGTGGATGTCAGAGGTGAGTCCTATGTTAATCTCTTAAAAATAACTGAGGAGGGCCTCCTGGTAGCATAGGGGCTAAAGTCTTTGCACTATGAAGCTATCATGCCAGGGGAGCTGACCCACATCGCACAGCAGATCTCTTCTGTCTTACCTGCTGCTCCCCTCAGCAGTGTATTTCAGTTATCTTCCTGTTCTGCTCCCCACTCTGTCTCTGGTGAATCCTCTCACTCCCCAGAACCTCAGCCCTGCACCCCAGCTCTTGAATGCAGAAATAAAAATATAATAATCGAGGGGCACCATCTATAACAACTGTCTGCTAGTTCCTAATAAAGTGTGGGTTTTACCTCCAATAACATGACTAAGACATCCACAAAGAAAATGTGGGTTTTACCTCCAATAATATGATTAAGACATCCACAAAGATTTGACTTTCTGAAATTCAGGTAGCATTGAGTTTGTATGTGGGTATGTGTGTGGGGAATGTCTGATCAGTTTGTTTTTTCTTTAGCTTGATGTTGTTTTCAATAGAGAAAAACATTTTCAAACAGCATTGTGTGACTGATACATCAATCCTCCCTGATTTCATCACAGCTGAGTCACCCATATTTTAACATTTCTTGCAGGTTGCTGATTCCATGCTTGTAATTTTATTTATTTTAATTATATTCCACTTGCTTCCCACATAAGTTGAGGTGATCCATAACAAAAACAAGTATTTGTAAATCCAGGATTGTGAGACCAAATCAAATGTGCAGAAACTAGGACAAGGAGATTTGTACCCAAACACACACACACACACACACACACACACACGCACGCACACTCACACACACATAATATAAAAAACAAAACAAAACAAAAAACAGTGACCAGGAACGATGATGCTCCTATTTTCTCTTACTATGACCCAGTCAAGGTGAGTCCATGTTGCCACAGGAAATGTGTTTATACTATTCCAGAAACGACGCCCTTGCCGGTGATGTTAGGATGGTACTTCTGATGCATCCTCAACATTTTGAGAGGAAACACAGTAGCATACTTTATATATAAGTAGCTTATAATTAGTAAATTTTTAATTGCTATGAAAGTTAATTTAACACATTTCCAGGTGTCAGTTATTAAAATTTCAGTTTCTTGATGGCAAACTGATTTAGTGACAGTACTTGATGCATGTAGCTTTTTACAAAAGAAGTGTATGAGAGAGAGGCATTAGGTCTATGAAATAATGTTTCAGTCAGCAACAGGTGTCAGAATAGGGGCATAGATTGCCCCTCTCATGTTTACTGCTTTTGTAAAAGTAAGCACCATATACCTTCTGCTTGTAGGCCCCCTTCTTCTCCTGTTACATTATGTAATGGAAAGAGGGGTTTCAGACTGTATTTTGATTAATATTTATAACTTTCCAACAGGGAGGGTTTTTGCATGTTAAAATGTCCACTGTGAATGACATCTTCAAGAAAATAAGTAGCTAATTATAACCACAGAACACTCAAATGAAATTAGAATGATGGTGTTTCGGTGCACAGAGCTCTAGTGTTTCGGGTTCAGCGTTACTTCTTTGAGCCCTTTCTGTTTTGTCCTCAGACCACCCATGGGTGATTTTCCTGATTCAAACGCACAGGGCATTCTGCCTCTGGGAATGATTAGAACTTGAAGTACTGCAATCAGATAATTACATCTTCAATAAATTGAGGATAACAGTTGTAAGCTCAATGTCTAATATTTATGGTCAAGCATGAAAGAGCTCACTGTGTTATTGTAAAAGCTAAATGAACAGGTCAAAACTCTTGCTTTTTTTCTTTTTTAAATAAATGGTGATATAACAAAAGCTTTAAATTTCTTGATTTGGCTACAGCTTCAAAGTTTAAGAATTTCCATTTAAGGAACCACAGACAAATTTGATCCTGAATATCAGCACAGAAAGAAGAAAAGGCACAATAGAAGCAAAGCCCAAGGACAGGCAATTCTTACCCTAAGTTAGCAGAGAGGCCAGATTATCTGAAAAGACTATTCTGGAATTAGACACTAGCAACCTTCTGGGGCAAGTGCCTGCCTGAGAGGGAAGCAGGTCCCACTGGCTGTTTTCTCTTCCAGCCTCCAGTGATTTGTGCCTGGATGCTGTCCACAGACTGGAAAAGCAAGAAGTAACAGAACTTTACGTTGAATCTTGGGAAGTAAACTTGTAGGTAGATATATTATTGTTGGGGACATTCATGGTTGAACAAGAAGGGCTTGTACAGGCAGCAAGGCTCTCCGAAATAACCATGTGCATGGGAAATCACCCGACACCCTTGAGAGGGGAACCAGGTGTTTCTCCTCTGTCTCTTATTACCCCGAAGAACCTAAGTGGTGATAAAATAAAAGTGCATGGACATCATTTTTACAGCAGGGAAGAAAAGCTATAAGTTGACAGTCTGACTCTATAGCTTTTGTATATAATTAACCCACAGTATTGCAAAAATACCCAGAACAAAACTCTTGCTTACTCATGTGTGACTTTAAAACTTAAAACAACAAAATGTTTAGTGTCTCCTTCCCTGAAAATGTTCAACTTCTCAGCACCTAGTGGTTTCAAAGGAACTCCTTAAATATGATTTTCTCTCTCATCCTCAAGTACTTGTAGGAAGGGGAATTCTCATTTTCTAATTGCAACAATCACTTTACTCTTAACATTTAGTAATAGTCTCATATCAGTTTCAAAGTTTTTTATATATGTTGTTCATCTTTCACAGCATCATGTAAGACTGATGGCACCTCCCATTTTTAGGTGTAGAAACTGAGTTACACACAGCATGGCTATCAAACACCTTCCTAATACATATCTGAGCTACAAGAAACAACTGGGAAAAGAATATGTACACTAAGGAGAAAGAGAACCCAAATGTCATCTTCCAACCAACTCCCCTACTTCTAAGCTGTTGATCTGCAGGATACAGCAAAGTTCATTACAATGATGAATGCCATGGCGTTGCCAACCTCTTTAAAAATGAAAGTGCTCAGACTTAAATTGCTTCACACTTCAGGATTTCCCCTAAACCTGGCAAGCTTTAGGAGGCTGGCCTCCACACCACCCTGGAGTCATTTTAGAAGATCTTTCATGACTGAACTATAATAACAACAGCTGCTATTTAATGAGCACTAAGTTAGGTGCCAGGCACATTACACAATACACAGCCCCACAAGGCAAAAGTAGATGGTGTTATCCTCAGTTTATAAAGGAATCATTGAGGCTCGGAGGTACCCTGTAGGTTTTCTAAGTTCTCACAGCTAATAAGAGGCAGAGCAGGCATCTTACATCCCGTCTGCTCATTCCTTCCACCCCCCTGCCCCCCACCAGCCTCACCACCTCTCGCTGGGTCCAGAACTTAGCACTTCCACTGTTGAAACCATGTGATTTCTTTACTCATAGGCAAAATCACAGAAGGACCAAAGAATCTCATTGCATTGCTCATTTTTGTTACATTTAGGAGCTGGTAACCTAGCTAAAGTTCTCTAAGTGGCTCACGTGACCTGAGAGGGGAGAACGGAGAGACAGGACTCCTATTCGAACATTATAATGAGAGCATCTACTTCCTTCAACAAATAGCAAGGAGAAGTGCAACTCTGCTTTTCTCCTTGGGAGCC